GAGCATCTGTAGGCCCTCTGACTTTTCCAGTTGCCTGAAGTCCAGCCAAGAACAACTTTACTACTTTGTTTATAAGTTTACATTACAGGCAGTAGAGGGGGCTAGAGAGACAGTATTAAATATGTAATAGGTTATATAGACTTAAAAGTGCCCTGGGAAACAAAGCAGGAGAGGAGGATTAAAAAACACTGGAAGGGGCTAGGGTTGTAGCTCAATGGTAGAGTGCTTGCCTAGTTTGTGTGAGGCACTGGGTTCAATCCTCAGCACCACATAAAAATAAATTAAAAAATAAAGATATGTGTCCATCTACAACTAAAGAATTAAAAAGAAAAGAAAAACATTGGGAAAAGAGAGGTTGAAATTTTAGATGGTGGGAGTCATGAAAATATGAATTTGGAGTGAAGGCCTAAAGTGAGTGAGGGTTCAAGCCATGTTGATACATGGAAAGAATCTTGTAGGCAATAGGAAAGAGCAAGTATAAAGACACTTGAAGTTAAGATCATGTCTGATGTCTTTAAAGGGAAAGCAAGTGGGCCAGTGTGTCCTGAGGACAGCAACAGAGAAGAGCAGCAGAACACAAAGCCAGAGAGGGAAGGGAAGGGAGATAACCAGATCATGGTTATGATTCCAAGATCATAAAAAGGACTCTAGTTCTTACCATGAGTAAGGAGGTAATTCACTGGAGGATTTTAAGCAAAGGAGTGACACAAAAACAGATTTATAATTTCCATTTTTATTCTTACTGCTGGGTTGAGGATACAGTGCCCAGGAGCAAGAGCAGAAGTAGGGACACCAAAATAATCTGAATGAGAGATAATGGTGCTTCAGACCAGACTGCCAACAGCAGTGGTGGTAAAAGGATTGAGCTCCAGATATATATTAAAGGTAAAAACAGTAAAATTTGCTGATGAACTGAATTGAGATGTAAAAGACATAGAAATAGAGGATTACATCATGGTTTTTGGCTTGAGGAACTGAAACAGTGGAGTTAGCATTGACTAAGAGGAAGAAGAAAGAGAAAGAGGCTGAAGGTCAGGAATGTGCTATGAGATGCATTAGTCTGAGATGGTTATCAGTCACGGCAAGTAGGCAGTTAGACAACGAGTTGGAGAGGTCCAGGCAGGAGACAGAAATCTGAGAATCCTAGCCTGTAGATGAATTTTAATACCACATGATTGGATAGGATCACATAGGGAGTGAACACAGATGAAAAGGAAAGAAATCTAAGGGCGGAGACCGGAATGTCATCAAATATTTAGTGGGTAGGATGATGAACCAGTCAACAGTCTAAGGTGGAAATACAAGGAATGCAGAAGGAAAACCGTGGCATCTTGGAAGCCAAATGAAGAAATCTTTTCAAGGAAAGAGAATTGCCCAATTGTGTCAAAGTGCTGGTAACAGAGCACTGAAGATGGCAGTTGAGAAATGACCACTGGGTTGGCAATGTAGAATGTTATGGATTGAACTGTGTCTCCCTTGAAAAGGTATGTTGGAGTCCTAACCCCCATATCTCAGAATATGACTTTATTTGAAATAGAGTTTATACAGATGGAATCAATATGAATGGTGACCTTAGAGGGAATCAATATGAATGGTGACCTTAGAGGGAATCAATATGAATGGTGACCTTAGAGGGAATCAATATGAATGGTACCTTCAAGAGGAGCATGGTCCTGCTGGAAACTTGATTTTGGAATTCTAGCTTTCAAAACTGTAGGAAAACACATTTCTTTTGTTTTAGCCATCTGGTCTGAGGTACTTTGTCATTGCAGCCCTAACAAATGAATACATGAAGGACATGGTAGATCAGAGAAGAGAAATATAATGGAATTGAAAGAGTCTGATTTAAATGGGATTCCAAAATAACAAAAGAGGGGAAGAAGACAGCATGGATAGTCAAACTTCTTAAGAAGTTTTTCTATAAAGGAAAAGAGAGAAATAACTCAGAAGGTAGAGAAACAAATGGCCTAAAATAGGGTTTTATCTTTTAATGAATTAATTTTTTTGAAGAGCCAAGGATTGAACCCAGGAACTAGCTAGCACCTGCTGGACAAGCGCTTTACCATTCAGCTACATCCCAGACCTTTTTATTTTTTTATTTTGAGACAGTGTCTTGCTAAATTGTCCAGAAGGCTGGCTTGAACTTATGATTCTCCTGCCTCAGCTGGTATTACAGGTGTGTGCAACTGTGCCCAGCAAGGTGCTTTGTTTTTTGCTTTAAATGGGAGAAATATTAGTATTTCAAATAATAGTAGAAATGATCCATTAGAGAATGAAGACTTGATTTTGCAGGACAGAGGGACAGAAGCTCAGGGAAATGCACTCATACACTGGTGGAGAAACTGTCTTTAGTTGCCTCCAAGGATGGCTCATTCATGAATAACAAGAAAGGATGGAGCATAAAAGGATGGGTGCTGGGAGATGATGGTCTCCTCATATTCTCCTATTTCTCAATGAAGTAGGAAGCAAAGTCATCAAATGAAAGTGAGAATAAGGGAGGAGGTGTGGAGAGTTGGCAGTGAGGAGAAAAAGAAATAGCAATCTGGGAGTGTGGGAGAGAGAGAACTGGTTATAGTAAACGATTCTTTTCATCTGTTATTGAGCCTGATTTGGTACTCATGAATTAAAATTTTCTCACAAATATTTATAACAAGAATTGGTCTTAATTTTCTTTTTCAGGTTCTGTTGTTAATAAAAACCTCGATAATAAAAATAATAACTGCGATTACCGAGTCTTGTGCCAAGCACTGAGTAAAGCAGTTCTCCAAATCATCTCATTTAATCCTCCTAGCAACAAGGAAATCATATATTGTCCCCTTTTTGTAGAAGAGGAACTGAAGCTGGGGCTGAGGTCACAGTAAAGTGACATGGCTAAAGTCATAAAGCTAGTAAAGCAGAGTTGAGATTCAAACCAAAGTGTGTACTCCAAAATCGATGCTCTTAAGCAGTTCTTCTAACTTTATAAACTAGCTTTTATCTCATTCTATATTCTGTGACAGAATTTAGGGGATTATCTCTACATTGAAAAGCACAAAAACTTCAACAGGAGAAAGTTGCAAAAATGCAATATTCAAAGTGAAGAAATTACAAGAGGGGCTGGAATTGTAGCTCAGTGGCAGAGTGCTTGCCTAGCACATGTGAGGCGCTGGGTTCCATCCTCAGCACCACATAATAAATAAATAAATAAATAAATAGGGGCTGAGGTTGTGGCTCAGTGGTAGAGCACTTGCCTGGCATGTGTGAAGTACTGGCTTCAATTCTCAGCACCACATATAAATAAATAAAAAATCCACTGACAACTAAAAAAAATGTTTAATGAATAAATAAAAGGAATGCTGTCTATCTACAACTACAAAATTTTTTAAATATCTTTTTTTTAGCTGTAGATGGACACAATACCTTTATTTTGTTTATTTATTTTTATGTGGTGCTGAGGATGGAACCCAGTACCTTGCATGTGCAAGGCAAGCGCTCCACCACTGAGTCATAACCCCAGTACCCCCCCCCCCCAATTTTTTAAAATTACAATAAAATGGCTTGTTAATGGAATAAACATATTTCCATTCACATGTAGCTATTTCTACTAAAATCTAAGCCTTAAATTTAACAAACATTCTTAGGAAAATCTGTAACCTAATACTTTCTTCTCTCAATCTCCAATCTCATTCATCACCATATTCTGTCATTTTTGTCTCCAAACATATCATGAAACTGTCCTCTTTTTTTCCCACACCATTGCCCTAGGGTAGGCTGCTACTAGGTTAGTCTGGATGACTATAATTGCTTTCTGGTGACTCTTCTTAACTTTCTTTCTTATACCACTTGTACCCATTCTATACACAGCAGCTGGAGGTATCTATTTTCAAAATGTTTGGAGCGTTTACTGGTTTATAACACAATGCTGCCCAGCATTGGATTAATTGTTAAATATTCAGAAGTGCATAGTGCTTACACAGGGAAACAATCTCTCTCTGTTTTTTTTTTGTCCTGGGGATTGAACCCAAGGGCATTTTACCTCTGAACTACATCCCTAGCACTATTTTTTTTTCCTTTTCTTTTTTTGAGACAAGTTGTATTAAGCAACACTAAACTTTGAACTTGCCATCTTCCTTCCTCACCTCCTGAGTTGCTGGGGATTAAAGGTATGGGCCACCATGCCCCATGGAAACTACACTTTTTGAAAAACAGACTCTCAGATACAACATAGGATCCTACAAAAAGCCAAGTGGTTTTTAATTTGCCTAGGCTCCTCTTTTTCCTTTATGTGTCTCCAATGAAATGAAATTATTTTCCCAAACCAAGGTTCTCAATAGAAAAACTAATATGAAATCATTAATTCCAGTGGTTTCCATAATAGATCACACCAAGCCTCATTTTCTAGGGCATTCTCTAGCAAATACATCTGAGATATGTGCATCATGAGCACCCCAACATATTTACTCTCTCTGACTAATGTTTTCTCTCTAGGGCCTAGGATGTGAGTGGCTGACATTAAATGCTCAATAAATACTTGTTGAACATTAAATGTGTTGAACATTGTTAAATGAATATAATATTTGGTATTCTGTAGGAAAAATCTAAATTTTTTGAACAATAAACTAGATGCTTCAAAAGAGTGCTGCCATATTTAAATTTCGTAATGGTGATTTTCTTAAAGTGCGATTTTTAAGCTCTCTAAGGTACCGGTTTTCTTTTTCATTCTTTTTTTTTTTTTTAATTCTTGCATGAGAATTGAACCAGGGGGCACTTAACCACTGAGTCACATCCCCAGCCCTTTTTATTTTTTATTTAGAGATGGGGTCTCTAATAAGGTTGAGTTGCTTAGCGCCTCACTAAATTGCAGGAGCTGGCTTTGAACTTGTCATCCTCCTGCCTCAGCTTCCCAAGCTACTGGGATTACAGGCATAAACCACTGGGCCCGGCACTTTTTCATTTCCAATTCTTTTCACTGATTATACATTTTCCCTTTCATCTAAAATGCCAATTTTCTCAAAGTTTACCTTGTAGCATGACCAAAGACTGTCGAAGCCGGCTGTTTTCTTTCCGGGTGTTTGTTAGTTTTTCTTTCAGGTTTTTTATCTTGGCACATAACTCCTCCTTTGATAATTCTGCTAAGGGTGCTTCATCCTCACTGGAGCTCTCCCCAGGCAGAAAGGCATTTCCCGAATATGGATCTCTCTAAAATGCAAGGCAGGCACAAGAAGAGAAGTTTCACAGCTCCTTTAACGGTTTATCCTATGTTCTGTATTCTGAAGGGGTTCATTCAAGACTACACACTCCTGTTCCCACAGGCACTTCCTGCAACCATGCAGCCCAGCAGCTTTAAACCCCACCATTCAGAGGAACTCAGGATGAGGGGAAAACAGTGCCTCCGACAGCGTGGAAATCAGGATTCTAACTTTCTGTGTCATTTTAGTGAAAAATAAAAAGAGAATAGTCGTATAACAGACTATAACCAATAAGAGCACCAGGTCTCCTCTGAGATGTGGCCTGTTTTGAGGCAAATACTTCACAATCTGGACCTCACTTCCTTCATCTGTGAATACATAGATAAAAATCATGCAATAACATGGGAAAATCTAGCAAGATGGCAGGATATACAATAGTTACTGCTTCTACATACCAGCTACAATTAGCACTGTAGTGCTATAAGAACACTATTTATTAAGTCAGGACAGTAGTTACTGTGGGGACCAGTGAGGAAAAGTAGCAGAGAGGAGCATGAGGAGAACTCTGAGATGCAGGTGATGTTCTAATTTCTGGCATGGATGTGTTCAGTTTGTGATAATTCATTAAGCTGTACATTTCTGACATGTGCAACCTTCTATATGTATATTGTACTTCCATAAAATGTTTTAAAAAATATCTCCAAGAAGGGGCTGGGTTATGGCTCAGTGGTAGAGTGCTTGCCTTGCATGTGTGAGGTCCTGGGCTTTATCCTCAGTACCACATAAATAGTACCTTTTGACAGTTTCCAATCCATATAGCCTAAATATTTCATATTTATGCTTAATTCTTGTTTTGAGAACAAATGTCATTAATGCATAGCAAAAAAGTGAAAGATCTCTATGAAGAAAGTAAACAAGCTGTACTAAAAGATGATGTCAATGTACACAGTTATCATGTTCAGAGATGAAATATTTCATTTAAAAAGTAGTAATTATCCCTAAATTGAACTTTAAAGTTAATGCAATTTCAATAAAAATTTAAAAAACCTGGAACTTAATAAATTGATTCTGAAATTCATCTAAAAGAACAAAAGCCTAAGAATATCCAGAGAAATCCTGAAGAAATATATGAAATGAAACAGGATCTTTCTTTACAAATGCAAGGGTTTACTAAAAATATAGAGCAATTAAAACAGCATGGCATTGGTATGGAAACAGATAGCATGACCAAAAATAGAGAGGCCCAAAATAGATGCATGCACATGAGGAACTTCTTATAGGACAGAGTGGCATAGCAACTCACCCGTTGTTAAGGTTTGGATAAGAGGTGTCCCGCAAAAGCTCATATGTGAGACAATGCAAGAAGATTCAGAGAAGAATGATTGGGTTACCAGAGCATTGACCCAATCAGTGGATTAATCCTTTGATGTGATTAACTGGGTGGGTAACTGAAGGTGGATAGAGTGTGGCCAGATGAGGTGCCATTAGGGGTGTGGCTTTAGGGTATATATCTTGTATCTGGTGAGTGGAGACCCCTTTCTGTTTTCTGATCATCATGTGAGCCGCTTCTCTCTGCCACACTCTTCCACCATGATGTTCAGCCTCACCTTGAGCCAGAGGAATGGAGTCTGCTGTCTATGATTGTGACCTTTGATACTGTGAGCCCCCAAACAAACTCTTTTCCCTCTACAGTTGTGCTGGTTGGGTCTTTAAATAACAGCGATGAAAAAAGCTGACTAAAACACCCAAGAAAATAGGACTTGCTCAATACACGATGCTGGAAATACTGGCTGACCTTTAAGAGAAAAAGTAAAGAAAATGCATTCCTACCTTGGTGTACACACACACACACACACACACACCACTTCAGATGGATTAAGAATTTAAACATTAAAAGTGAAAATTTAAGTTGTACAAGAAAATATACTCTTTAAGATTTCATCTCACTTCAGTCAGAATGGCAGCTATTAAGAATACAAACAACAATAAGTGCTGGTGAGAATGTGGGGAAAAAGGAACACTCATACATTGCTGGTCGGACTGCAAATTGATGCAGCCAACATGGAAAGCAGTATGGAGATTCCTTGGAAAACTACCATTTACCCAGCTATCCCACTCCTCGGTCTATACCCAAAGGACTTAAAAATAGCATACTACAGGGACACAGCCACATCAATGTTTATAGCAGCACAATTCACAATAGCTAAATTATGGAACCAACCTAGATAACTTTCAGTAGATGAATGGATTAAAAAATGTGGTATTATACACAATGGAATATTACTGAGCAATAAAAGAGAATAAAATCATGGCATTTACAGGTAAACGGATGGAGTTGGAGAATAGAATACTAAATGAAGTTAGCCAATCCCCCCCCCCCAAAAAAAAACAAATGCTGAATGTTTTCTCTGATAGAAGGAGGCTGATTAATAGTTGGGTTGGGAAGGGCAGCCTGGGAGGATTAGATGAACTCTAGAAAGGACAAAGATATGGATGGACATCATTACCCTAAGTACACGTATGAAGACACGAATGGTGTGAATATACTTGTATACAACCAGAGATATGAAAAATTGTGCTCTACATGTGTAATATGAATTGTAATGCATTCTACTGTCATATATAACAAAGTAGAATAAAAATAAATTAAAAAGAAAATATAACTTGGGGCAGGAAAGAATCTTCAATATAATCATAATCATAATAAAAGATTAATGCATTCAATTACATTAAAATTAAAAACTTTTATTCATTAGGCAACATTAAAAGGAAAAGACTGATCACAATCAATAGAAGATATTTGATTTGTTAACTGACAAAGTTGTGTGTTATGTATAAATATTTATATATATATGTAAACATGTGTGTGTATGTATGTGTATATATATATATATATAATATATATATAATTCCCCACAAATCAATAAGGAAAATAAAGCAGCAACTTAATAGAAAAATAAGTGATTGAGGGGGATAGTAGAGGATAGGAAAGGCAGCAGAATACAATAGACACTAGTATGGCAATATGTAAATCAGTGGATGTGTAACCGATGTGATTCTGCAATCTGTATACGGGGTAAAAATGGGAGTTCATAACCCACTTGAATCAAAGTGTGAAATATGATATGTCAAGAACTAAGTAATGTTTTGAACAACCAACAATAAAAATTAAAAAAAAAATAAGTGATTGACATGAGTAAGCATTTTATAGACGAGATAACACATATGGCCACCGAGTATAAAAAAGATGTTCAATCTCATTAGCAATCAGGAAAAAGAAGATCAAGATCACAATCAAATATATTTTGGGCAAAAATTAAGGAGTTTGACACAACTAAGCATGGAATGTGGACATGGATCACTGGAATTGCCCATATTTGCTTATGGAAATAAATTTGGTATACTACTTTGGAAAACAATCTGACATTATCCCATAAAGTTTAACATTCGTCTGCCCTCTGATCTTGCAATTGATTCCTGGGTCTACATATGAAAGAGACTTAAGTATATGTATAATAAGAAATATGTCCAAAGCTTTCAGTAGCAACATGGTTCATAATGATGAAAATATTAAAACACAATTGCCTATTGACAGGACAATGGATAGGTGAGTAGTGCTGAAGTCACACAGTGGGATTTACCCAGAATTGAAAGGGAATAAATAATTGCCTTTATGAATTAATCTCAGTAAAATGTTGAGGGAAAAGAACATGTTCCAAATGTAAATGTATAATATAATATAATAAACTTTTTGTAAAGTTAAAGAAGAAATAAGCTAGTAGCATATGCCTGTCTTCCTATCTTCTGAGAGGCTGAGGCAAGAGGACTGCTTGAGCCCAGGAGATGAAGGCCACTGGGAAACAGTGAGATCCCATCTCAAAATAAATAAATAAATAAATAAATAAATAAACCTAATTATATATTTTAACACATATATACATATTATTGAATAGATATTTGTGTGTAATGAGACAATATGTATGCATGATTTCAGTTTTATAAATTTTTTAAAAGTGGGCTAGATGTAAAAAAGAATGACTTTATGACTTTTTCTGGTAAATGGATGGAGCTAGGGATTATCATGCTAAGTGCAATAAGCCAATCAAAAAAACCAGAAGGCCAAATGTTCTCTCTGATATGTGGATACTAACATACAGTAAGTAGGAGTAGGGGAGAATAGAAGTTCATTGAATTAGACAAAGGGGAATGAAGGGAAGGGAGCAGGGATGGGAATAGGAAAGACAGTAGAATGAATCAGACATAACTTTCCTATGTTCATATAGGAATATATCACCTGTGAAATTCCACATCATATACGACCACAAGAATGGGGTCCTAATTAGAATAAGTTATATTCCACATATGTATAATGTATCAAAATACACTCTACTGTCATGTTATCTAAAAAGAATAAATAAAAATAAAAAAAAATTCAAAAAAGTGGGCTAGGGACACAACTTAGTGATAGAGCACTTGTCATCATGAATGAGGCCCAATCCCCAGCAGTGCAAAAAATAAGTCTTACAAGAAAGTAAATTATACATGAGATTGACTATGATTATATCTGGATTGATACAGGCAGGTAGGAGAGGAGTATATAAGTAGTCATAAGTTATGATAAGGTAAAATTTTAGGTATTAAGATGGGCATTGGAGTTCATTATTCTTATTCTTTTTCTTATTCATATTCTTATTCTTTTTCTTTTGTTGTTATTGTTGCATGTTCTAGGAATGGAGCCCAGAGCCTGTACATGCTAGGCAAGTGCACTATCACTGATACATCCCCAGTTCTCATTAATTTCAAAATTAAAAAATAAAATAACCTAGGACAATATTTAGAGTAAAACCTAGCATATTGCATTGCACATAATAGACATCCAATAATCTTATTGTGCTGGAAGACAATATATTTTCCTTCTTTTTAGTTCACCCCCATTCTGCATTTCTTTCCCTAATCTCCATTCTTGGCCTCGCTGTCAAGACTATGGCATGAAACCAATTTGGGGCTTAT